GGCTTTGGTTCACCAGGTTTTGCTTGTCTGGGCCACCTCATTAGCTACTGCCGCCTTGGAAAGTCAGATTTTATGGACTTTGAAAAATCCATTTGAATGAAAAAGCTTGAAACCCTGGGATAGCCCCAGGATCAAACTAATTAATACCCCCTTTCAAACAAATTGAGACTTCGGAGGGTTGGCTGAATCTTTGAAAAGTACTCTTCTTTTGAGAGTGGTACAAATAAGTGATTGTAATAAAACCAGGGATGGGAGGAAGAACCTGGGAGGAAAATGTTTGAACATAAGAGGAACTGTCATCTCTGGAGGTGATTGGCTTGGCAGAGGGAAAAAAAGAATATTCATCATGCAAATAAGGCCCACTGAGGCATCTCAGGCCCTCAGTCAGAGGATTCTCAAACTTAATGGTTTTCATATCTAATTCAAGGAAAAATTGGTCATTTAGATATTAAGACAAAAGCAGGCAGCCTCCTATCTCAACAAAGAATCCTTTCTGCTGAAGTGGAGTTATCTCTGATGTAATTAAATTACTTGCTGAAGTATAATAAAAAGGTTCCATTAACCAAAGATGCCTTTGCTGAGCAAGTGCCCTCCACCTCCTCAAATAATTCAAGAGGGTTCTTATCAAGGACAAAGAGATACTGGCCCAGATAGATCATGCAATCAAACCAAAATCCTAATCGGTATCATTTCCAGGCCAAAGAACAAAGTTCCTAACCAGAGCACTGGTTTTATTCATGTTGTTGTTGTTAGGTACCATTGAGTCGCCTCTGACTCATAGTGACCTTATGCACAGCAGAAACACTGCCCTGTCCTGTGTCAGCCTCACGATCCTTGCTATACCTGAGCTCATCATTGTAGCCACTGTGTCTGTCTATCTCTTTGAGGGCCTTCCCCTTCTTCACTGACCCTCCGCTTCACCAAGTATGATATCCTTTCCCAGGGAATGGTTCCTTCTGACAACGTGACCAAAGTAGGTGAGACGAAGTCTGGCCATTCTCACTTTCAAGGAGCAGGTTTTATTCACAAGCAACCATTTTATTCATCTGCAAATGTGGCTGTGGTGCTTTATTCTTCTGGAGTTGCAGATCTAACCAGTCTGCACTCTAAAAAAGAAATGAAGTGTGTACTAAAAGTATGGCCAAGGATCATTTTCTTGGAGTGTCCGCAACCTTCTTATCATTGACAGTATTTCCAGAGTTTAGGTACCTTAACCTCAAAAGAACACATTGCTTGAGGACCTGCCAAACCATATAGACAGCCAAGGACTTTCCAACTCATTCATTGCAAGGAGGTGGTAGTGATGGTGCTGTGGTCACCCAGTATGTTCCATACTACTCCGTCTACAGTGTGAGGCTTCGTGTTGCATGACACAACCAACCTGTCACTTCTCCTAGGTACATTACACCACTGCAGCACATCACACACTGTAGCAAATCGGCCTTCACTCATTAGCAGTGATTTATAGTTGATGGAGTCTTAGTATCCAAGGAGCTCTTATATATGAAGATAAATAAATACCTAGGACTCATTGCCCTCTGTTTGTGCCTAATTTTTTCATCTTATATATTTGTTAAGCAATCAGTATTTTTCAACATTACGCAGTCAACATCTAAGTATTTGTAAACAACATAAAAAAGAGAAAAGTGGATTTAACAAAGGAAAATTTCCCAACATTTAAACATAGATTTTAAATATGAACACTTATAAACATTTTGAGTGACGCTTCTTTAAAAAATTAGATCATTGCAAATCTTTGAAAGCCTGTAAAATAAACCAAACACACACATAAAGATCAATACACTTAAAAAACCAAACTCACTGCCATCGAGTCGAATCCGACTCATAGTGACCCCTCCTTGGGTTTCCGAGGCAGTATCACTACAGAAGTAGATTGTCCAATCTTCCTTCCAAAGTATGGCTGGTGGGTTTGAACTCCAGTCTTCTAGTGACAGTTAAATGCCTTAAGCATTATGCCACCAGAGCTCTCGATACGCTTAAACCAAGGGTATAAACATGAATTTTATGAATTTAATTTCTGCATTATCTTGATTCTTAATCCATAGCCTTTTTTAAAATTTTTATTTTAATTTGTGCTTGTATTTATTCCAATAGTTGCTGTCTTAGTTTCCTAGGGCTATTCTAACAAAATATCACAAAGAGGATACCTTTAAAGAACAGAAATGTATTGTCTAACAGTTTTGGAGGCTAGAAGTCCAAATCAGAGTATCAGCCATGTTGATCCCTTCTGAGCTCTGAAAGAGGAACTGTTCCATCCTCCCTCCTAGCTTCTGCTGGCTCCCATCAATCCTTGGCATTCTTTGGCTTGCAGCTGTATCTGCCTCCGTTGCCACATAGTTATTCTTGTTCTGTCTCTCTGTGTCTCTTCTTTTATAAGACACCCCTCAGATAGGATTAGGCCCCACCCTCATCTGCCATAACCTCATTTTAACCTAACTGGTAACATCTAAAAGACCTTAGTTCCAAACAAGATCACATTCAAAGGTACCAGGGGTTAGGACTCCAACATACCTTTTTGTAGGGACAAAGTTCAATACATAACAGGTGCCTTCTTAAGGTCTCTAATATTTTACAAGGAACCACTGCAGTCCAGTTTAGTTTACCAGACCCAGTAATTTGTCTAGTTGTTTTTTGGTTGGGATGTAGGATCTGGTTACTCAGTCCATGGTGGTTCCAAGCCACCATCCTCTGGCTTAATTCATTTTCTAACTAAATCCCTTTTATTATGCCAAATGACTCCTAAGTTCCTATCATTCATATAGATTTTCATTTTTGAAACTTGATGTCCTCCCCAGGAAAGATAAATTGTAAGTTTTGTGTATCTGCCAGTTCTTGATCCATTGTTCTGTCATTTTGATTTATTGAACATGTCTATTAACATTATTAAAAATGTACATATTCCCTATTATTATTTTATTATAATTAGTTGGGCCATTTAGAGGTTTCGTCTCCTAGGAGATGAGATTGAGCCTATGTAATTAGCTCTCTTCTTTAGGACAGCTGGCTAATTCATCATCTTGAAACATAGTATTAGACTCCCTTCCCACCTGTTTATTTTGTATGACCATGGTTGCTAGTCAATTTTTTATAAACTTGGTATGATACCTCCTTCATCTTGGACACGGTTTTATCTTTTCTGTTTACACAAATAGAAACAAGTACACTGTGTGTCAAATATTATGATTATAGCAGAATAGAATTCCCCTAACTTAAGTTACTGACATTCCACCTTTATAATTCTTGCCTTACCTACATACCACCTCCTATTGTTTATGTCAGACTTTTCTTTAAATAAGGACCCCTGGTGGCACTGTGGTTAGAGCATTGGACTGCTAACCAGAAGGTTGGTGGTTCAAACCCGCCACCCACTCCATGGGAGAAATGAAGCAGTCTGCTTCCATAAAGATTTACAGCCTTGGAAATCCTGTGAGGCAATTCTACTCTGTCTTACAGAGTTACTATGAGTTGGAATCAACTCAATGGCAGTGGGTTTGGATTTTTGGTTTTGGTTTCTTTAAATAAATCTACGTACTTGTTTTAACCCAGCTTCATCTTAGATTGTTGTTATTGTTAGCTGCCATCAAGTTCTCCAACTCATGGCCACCCTATGTGGAATAGAATGTAACATTTACTGATCCTGCACCATCCTCGTGATTAGTTGTGGATTGGACCATTGTGGTCCATAGGATTTTCATTGGTTGATTTTTTGAAAGTAGATTCCCAAGCCTTTCTTCCTAGTCTGTCTTAGTCTAGAAATTCCACTGAAACCTGTTTAGCATTGTAGCAACACACAGCCTCCACTTATAGATGGGTGGTATCTGTGCATGAAATGTATGGGCCAGAAATAGAACCCAAGGCTCCTCATGCAAGTGAGAATTCTACCACTGAACCACCACTGCCTCACCATCTTACACCATAATAGCCATAAAATCACATAGTTAATGAATCTGTTACATTTCAGCTAACTTTTTTGTAAATACATTAAAATAATGACACAATTATTTAAAATTATTGAAATGAGGGGATTATCCTTGCATTCCCTTAAGCCCCTTTACATCCTTCTTGAGGAGATCTGGCTGAAGATCACATCCCAAGTACTCTGATGATTTGAAGCAACCAGACAATGTAAAAGGAGTTTAGAGAACAAATCTTCCATTTTTAAAAGCAAGAGAAGGTCTTAGTGGTTGATGAAACCACATACTTTGATAAAAATAGATTGCTATAAAATGAAACCACATGACCCTAAAAAGATTTGTGTTCTGGCTCTGTTGATATCTAAAGTCGAACACAAGCCACAGAAGGACTTCCTTCCGTCATCAGCTGTCATATGAGCCCTGAGCACCCAGGGTAAGTGCAGCTGCTTCCAGGTTGAATTAAATGATCAGAAAAGACATCCTGAGGATGATAGAGCTCATAGGACAAAGGTCTGAGGGCCCAGAAGAAGGAGGGAGTCCCTCCTTTGGGTACAGAGACCCAAGCGGGGAATGACCTTGGTGCACAAGAGAACCCGTTGGACTGAAGGAAAGGACAGGGGCCTGGTAGGAAGCATGATCAGATTACTAAGTGGCAAGACCACAGGCCAGGGTGCAGAGTGTGAATTTCATTGCAGATGGGACAGGAAACCATCACGAGGTATGGATCAGGGAAGTGCTTTGATCCAGTCCTGCAGGCTAGAGTGCAGGGAATGAAAATTGAATGAAAACCGAGATACCAGCCAGGTAGTTCTGGTTGACCCTCAAGTGATGGAGCATCCCCAGGAGGTTGCAGTGAAAATGGTGAGAAGGTTATATTCAGGATGTAGCTTGAAGCCAGAGTTTTCAGGGATTACTGATGAATTACAGGACTTAGGTTTTGTCCTGAACAACCAGGTGCGGTTTACCGAGATGGGAAGGGTGGGTCAACAAGGGGCCTTTAGAGCAGGAGGTGCTAAGCTGGGAGCATAATTCACATGTGACCTCTGCTTCTTTTTCTCCTCACAGTGATCCCAAAAGTCACCAAGCATCTGCTCTCAAACCCCGTGTTCACCTGCATCATTCTGGCTGCCTGCATGGAGATTGCAGTAGTGGCCGGCTTCGCTGCCTTCTTGGGGAAGTACCTGGAACAGCAGTTTAACCTCACCACCTCTTCTGCCAACCAGCTGCTCGGTGAGTCCATTCTCTGGTCCTCCTGAGAAAACAAGGGGAGGCTGTAGTGCATGTAATCTATAAGAATTTATCAAGAATCTCCAAAGAGTCAGCACTGTGCTGGGCCTGCAACAGCAGAACAGTATATACCTGGTCTTGGTGCATAAGAAATTTTCTATTATATTCTTAGGCTCAGATTTGTCCACCTGAAACAATTACTAAAAGCACATAATAAAAGAATTAAAATATAGCATGCACATAGAAAGTATTGTCAGAGGCTGAGAAGTTGATAGGAGAGTATAAACAGGAGAATTCGGGGAAGATAGGATGAAGGAGGAGTCCCTGGCTGGTACAAATGGTTAACACACTCAGCTGCTAACTGAAAGGTTAGAAGTTCAAGTTCATCCATAGGTGCCTTGGAAGAAAGGCCTAATGATCTACTTCTAAATAATCAACCATTGGAAATGCTATAGAACACAGTTCTACTCTGAAACACGGGAGCTCTGGTAGCATAGTGCCTAAGGCACTTGACTGCTAATTAGAAGGCTGGCAGTTTAAACCCACAAGCCACTCCTCAGAAGGAAGTTTGGGCAATCTACTTCCATAGTGATACTGCCTCGAAAACCCAAGGAGGGGTCGCTATGAGTCAGGGCCGACTCCACGGCACATAACAACAACTCTGAAACACATGGGGTTGTCATGAGTCATATTTGACCCAGTAGTTTTTATGATTAAGGAAGAGAGAAATAAAGATGGACCTTGAAAAGTTAGAAGGTTTTGGTCAGGTAAAGGAGAAAGCAAGAATATTCCTGGCAGCATGAAATCCATGGTCAGCAAATACAGAGCTTTGAAGCCATATGTTTTCCAAATCTCACCCCTCCCTGTGCCCATAGCAAACATAACTAATTGGTTCCCTAAATCCATACAGTCTTTCTCAATAGTGGACTACAGACATCTCCTTCCAATTATGTGTAGTTGGCCTGCTGGAACAAAACAATTGGCTCTCATGAGAAACTGTTGTTTACATGGGATGAAGAAAGTGGTCTCGTAAAATGTGAGGGAGAGGGAAGAATCAAGAATGACTCCCAAGTTTCTGACTTGGACAGCTAAGGTACCATTTGTGAAAACTGGAAATAGTGGATAAGAGATCTGTGGGGAATACTTTGAGCTCACATTTGAATTTGCTAAGCCTGAAATGCTGTGGGACACTTAAGTACTGATGCCATATGTTTGATTGAGGGCTCAAGAAAGAGATCTGAGTCAGTACTATGAATATGGTTACCATCAGCATACGGATGATAGTTGACATGGAAGTGGAATTTGTACCAGAAAATATGTAGAATTAGAAAATAAAAGGTCAGACACCAGCCCTGAGGAAGCAGAGAGCAAAGACTCTGCAAAGAAGTTTGAGAAGTAGCATCCAAAAGGAATCCAGAGAATGTGAGTTATTTGAGTCGGGAAAGAGATGATTCCAAAAATAAAGGTGATGTCAGTGATGTATGTGATCATGCAAGGTGAGGTCTCTGTTAGCTTTAACAATAAGGAAGCCCTTTTGACTTGGATTAACACAGTTTCAATGAAGTGGCAGAAGGGGTGCCCCAATTGCGATGTGAGGGAAGGAATAGATAGTGATCACTGGTCACTTTCCAGAAGCTTAGCTGCAAAAGAAGATAGAGAGAAAAGTAGCTCGTAGTGTGTTGGGACTGAGGTAGAGGCTGGTGATTGATGTTGTTGCTAGGACTATAAAGACTTGAGCTGGATTCCAAGCAGAGGGAAAAGAGCAAGCAAAAGATGATTTTCTGAAAAGAGGGGAAATATGAGTGGACAGCCCATGGCCAAAGAACACATCTGTTCCCCTGAAAATGAAGAAAAGAAAAGAGACATGAATATGGTGAGTGAGAGTGTGACAGAACCACTGGGAGTGCTCCAGCCCTATAGACTTAATCTTCTCTGTTTAGTAGGTCAGATTGTCTGCTGAGAGAAATGGGCAAGGTGAAATGTTCTGATTTTCCCCTTTAAAATCTAGCACATTACAAACTGACTAATAAACAGATGTAAAGATGCTTACCATCATGAGTCATCAGGAAGATGCACATAAAAACCACAATGAGATGCTATAACAGAGCCACCAGACTGATAGCACTGAGTGTTAGTGAGGCTATGGAGCCACTGGAACTCTCATACACTGCTGGTGGGAATGTAAAATGAACAGTCACTTTGGAAAACTCTTACACAGTACCTATTAAAGTTAAGCAGATGCTTACTCTGTGATCCATCTGTTCCAATCCTGGGCATATACCCAACAGCAGTGAGTGTTTCTGTCCACTGAAAGGCATATGTGTAAATATTCATAGTGGCTTTATGCATAATAACACCAAACTGGAAAAACCCAAATGCCCATCAAACAGTAAAATGGGTAAACTATAGAATGTTCATACAATGGACTATTTTTGCACAGCATCAAAAAGAAAGAAGTTTGATAGCTGTCCAGTGAGGATGAAAGTCACCCAGTTGAGAGTTGAGCTCAGACACAAAATAATTGTATGAATTTAAAAGAGGGAAACTTAATTAAAGTGGTTAAGACTAGATTAATAGTTTCCCTTGGGGAAAACTAAATAGGAGGGACGCCAAGGAGCTTTCTGGGGTCCTAGAAATGTTCTATAGCTTGATCTGAGCAGTGGTTACATAAGTGAATATAGATATAAAAATTCTTCAGGCTGTTCTTTTAATCTTTGTGCACTTTACCATACTTAACACATATCATGGCACCTCTCCCTGCTAACCGAAAGGTCTGTGGTTCAAACCAGGCTGCTCCACAGGAGAAAGATACGCAGTCTGCTTCCATAAAGATTTACAGCCTTGGAAATCCTGTGGGGGCAGTTCTAGTCTGTCCTATAGGGTCGATACAAGTCAGAATCAACTTGACAGCAGTGGGTCTTTTTGGTTTTGCTCCCTGCGAACTGCTAGAATAGTACAAGCCTTACTTTTATTTTTTCCTTTTTTACTAATAACTCTTTACCACCTTGTAGGTTTGAGCAAAATGCAATCAGCCCTTTAATTCCTGTCTGACAGAGATAGGGTAAAATGTATCTCTTTTTAATTAACATTTGATACATACGCACAGTGGCTTCAGGCTTTGGGGTTCTGTTCTAGTTCAGAAGAGATTTGTAAGTTTTCTATTGACAAACAGATCAATAGTGTTCAGGGCAGAAGGTCAAAAACAATCTCACCTCCTTGTGTCAGTTTCTCACCCAGTGACTTTTCTGCCTTTTTGAGTGCTTAGTGCAAAGGGCCTTCTCCTGCCCTAGAGAAGCAGCCTCTCGCCTGTCTCTCTCAGTAGCCCTGGAAGGCAGCATGCATGCCCTCTCCCTGTGCCCTGCCTGTAGTGTCACTCCAATTAGCATGGACTCTAAAGAGCTGGCTGTAAGAGGAGGCTAGCCGTGGGCAGTTAGGGTGAGGAGAAAGCCATTGGAAACATGAGGTGAGACTCAGTTGAGAAAATACTTCACCTGTAGCTCCCACAAGTCCCCTGGGTGGTACAGATTACTTGTACTTAACATCTAAGCTAAAAGAAACTCTAGTGGTACAGTGGTTAAGGCATTCAGCTGCTAACTAAAAGGTTGGTGGTTGGAACCCACCAGCTGCTCTGTGAGAGAAAGATGAGGCAATCTGCTGCTGTAAAGATTTACAGCCTTGGAAACCCTGTGGAGCAGTTCTTTTTCACCCTATAGGGTCAGTATGAATCAGCATCTACTTGCCAGTACACAACAACAACCACACTAATGTAAAGATTGGCAGCTTAAACCTACCCAATAGTCCCAGGGAAGAAAGGCCTGGCAGTCTGCTTTCATAAATTTCATAGTCATGAAAACCCTGTGGAGCAGTTCTGCTCTGTAATCCATGGGGTCAACATGAGTCGGAATTGACAGCAAAGGGTTTGGTTTTTGGGGTTGGTAGCTCCTGCAGGCTTGGGAGATTGGGCTAATGAATTCATCTCTGAGCAGCAACAAAAGGCCCTGGCCTACCCACAAAGTCATCAACAAATGCAGCAGAATTCAGAGAGTTCAGAGTTCAGAGCAGCAGCATGGATGGAGAAGGGGCGGGTGGTAGTGATTTATGAGTGAAGATAAAAGGACTTAATCTGCATAGGTTAATGTAAGGAGGAGGAATTTGGGGATGTTCTGATAACTGTCTGGGTACTCCCATGAGGGAGGGAGACAGGCACTGAAAATGGCTTGGAGTAAAGGCCCCAGAAGCGTATTATTGCCATAGTTACTATCACGTGAAATGACACTCTCACTGTCTCTGGTAGGCAGTTAAACAACATGCAGGGCTGCTCTCTGGAGTGGACCTGCTGTCACCAATGTTCATTGACACAGATTCAGTCTGTCACCATTTGGGTCATTCAGAAAATAATACAAAGCACTCGCTCTGTGCTGGACATCATTGAGGGACAGGAAGAGATGGTCCTGGGCTAAGTGGGACAGAAAGGGTTCTTGTCCTTAAGCAGGTGCATCCTAATAGGGGGAAAGAGAAGAAACTCAAAAATAAATAAGGCATCCTCAGATAGTGGGGGAGCCACGAAGGCAGTAAGACAAGGTGAGAAACAGCCAAGAGTCGCCAGGAGTGGAGTGCAGGAGCCACTTTAAATAGGGGTCTTGGAGGGATAGAGGCCAGCCAAGTGAAGACATAGGGCAGGAGTGTCCCAAGAAGTAGGGACAGCAAGTGCAAAGGCTAGTGCCTAGACTGGTTTGGCTGTTCTGAGAGAGAAAGTCGTGGGCATGATTTCCAGTGACCCCCGTGGAAGGAGATATGAGGGTGCCGAGGCATACAGGACGGGGGATGGGTAGACTGTGATTACCTCTACACCAAGGAGGGAGACTGTGCACAGATATCTAAGAGCACCAGAAAATACAAAAGATGATAGAGATAATACAAAGATGTTTATGTTTGTTTAAAACTGACTTGTATGGTTTTCTTAGAACATGTCTCCCAATCATGTCTTCCTTACCCTAATATTAACATTAATTTGCATTCTCTTAGCATGTACTAGCTGGTTGATGTAGTCAACTGACCTTGAGGTCTGTTGATTGGCAAGGAGGAGGCCGCCTACACTGGAAAATCAGACATGAATAATCTACGTGGTGGGTGAATGGCACCAGTGATAGAAAGCCAGGTTGTAGATGAAATGAATCAGAAGAGAGCAAAACCAAACAGGAGATTGGAAGCCTAGGGTCCTTTTGTCCTCCTGAAATTCCACAAGTTTATGCTCCTGCTGCCTTGCAGATAGCTTTGTGTATAATAGAAAGAAAATATTTTTTATGCCAGTTACTCTCCAAGAGCCACACAACATAGTAATTTGATATGGATACTGCTTCCAAGGAGAAGCAGAGCTGGTCAAAAGCTGTCTTCATGGGCTACTGACTTCTCTGACCTTTGGGAGAAAAAGTCTCCAAGCCCATTCACCGTTCCCCCCTCACCTGATTAAAAGAGCGGCTGAGTCCTCTTCTTATGACCTCAAAAGTGCACAGAAAGTTCATCACTGCTCAACGACATTGACCTTCTAAAAATGCACAAAGATATCCCAGTCCATCTGGCTTGGTCAGTCCATTGTTCACACGTTTGTATGTATTTTTTATAATTGATTGTACCCTACTCAGTACAACAGGTATATATATGCCATGAGGTTTGTTATACCTGAGTTTTTACCTGTCTGCCTCCCTCAATTTTCTGTGAGCTCTTTGAGGGCAGAGATCAGATAGATTGATAAATAGATAGTTGGATGGATGGATGGGTGGATGGGTGGATGGATGGATGGATGGATGGATGGTAGGTATAGAGTCCCTTAGTGGTGCAATTGGTTACCACATTCAACTACTTACCCAAAGGTTGGAGGTTCGAGTCTATCCAGAGATGCCTTGGAAGAAAGGTTGATGACCTACTTCTGAAAAAGCAGTCATTGAAAACTCTAAGGATCACAGTTCTACTCTGACACACGTGAGGTCACTGTGAGTCAAAGTCAACTCGATAGCAGTTGGGTACAGATTGTTGTCAGTTGCCATTGAGTTGATTCCAACTCACATGACCCTATGTGGGCAGAACAGAACTCCATAGGGTTTTCAAGGCTGTGATCTTTCAGAAGCAGATCACCTGGCCTTTCTTCTGAGGCACTTCTGAGTGGATTCGAACTTCCACTTTTGGTTAGTAGTCAAGCGCGCTTAACCATTTGTGCCACTCAGGGATACAGGCAGATTTAGGCCTCTAATGAATACTTTTGGGGCACTGTCAAGGAAGTAAGCAGGAAGCTCTGTCTTCACAGGGCTCAGCCCCAGGCCTAGCACTTACCCCTCCATGTTGATTGGCCCTTCTTTTCCCAGTCACATTTCCCTGCTACGCTCTTATTCCAGGGATGACTGCAATCCCGTGCGCCTGTCTGGGAATCTTCCTGGGCGGTCTCCTGGTGAAGAAGCTCAGCCTGTCTGCACTTGGGGCCATTCGGATGGCCATGCTCGTTAACCTGGTGTCCACAGCTTGCTACGTCTCCTTCCTCTTCCTGGGCTGTGACACGGGCCCTGTGGCTGGGGTTACTGTTCCCTATGGAAACAAGTAAGTTCCAGAAATGTCTGCCTCAGCCCCTTCCCACACAGAGATGCCAGGGCTGCTTCCCCATGCCTGGCATGAATGGAGCGGGCTTCATCCTCATTGGCCATGACACGACCCCCTCGGTGGGCAGGGCTCTCTCCCAAGAGCAGCCAGTAGCACGCTGGAGTAGAAAATAAGATTATTTTTGGTATTTGATGTCAGGAATGATGTGAACATAGAAAAAGAAAATAAATTTTGTTTTAAAATTCAGCTTAAAAGATGGAATAGATTTCAACAATTCCTTAAATTATCAGAAGCTATTGTTAAACTTAGAGTAATCCCAGGGTTTCTTGCAAGGGAGGTAGTACTAGTGTGCAAGGGAGGGAAAGAAAGAAGAAAGAAGAATAGGAGGGAGAGAGAAAGGAAAGAAGTTCATTTTTATGGTATCACTTTTCTTATTTCCTACTCATTACCCTAAGGTCCTGGACTGGACTCCAATCAGCATTACTCTTAGAGAGTTTTTATATATCCAGCATCAATAATTGGCCCTTTTCTAAATGGGACTTTGAGGCTGCTGTGGGAAGCTGGGCTAGGAGGATCAAGGTGGTGGAGAGGCTGGCCTACAGGTGACTGGTTCCTCTCCAGAGCCCTCCAGAGTACCTGTTCCTACACTTTAGCCAGAAGAGAGAAATAAAGCAAGGTTTACCTGCAGCCTCCTGCAAGGGAGAGCAGGTAGGATGGTAGCATAGAGGCAGCTTGTGCATCCTTTCTGAGCATGATGCAAGCCCCTTCCTCCTCTGCCCTACCCCCTAGGTAGGCCTCCCCAGTCCCTGCCCATGCTGCCCCAGTTCCCCTCGGCAGGTTTGGTGTCTTCTGCTTTGCACTTACTATAAACAATAGTGTCTGAGATAAAGATCACCACACCAGCCTTTCATGTGGATCACTTGGCTCTTAGACAGTAAACTGTAGTGGTTCAAAGTGCAGGGTCTTACTACAGTGAAGTTATTCTTCAACAACAAAGAAGAAAAGGGGGCAGACCTTATGGTCAAACTGCCTACGTTCCAATCCCTGCTCTACCACATACACATTATTTATATCTGTGCAAGTTACTTACACTGTTTTTGCTTCAGTTTCCTTATCTGTAAACATGAGACAATGACTGTACATACCTGGTGGGGTTAGACTGAGAATAAATGCAATAATGCATACTGTTCCTCAAACAGGCCTAACATAAAATTGTCAGGTATCATGCCCATCATCTTCATGACTATGAAAGTGCTCTGAACCCTGGAAGGCTTAACTGAAAATCACTGGGGGAAAGAAGGAGATACTTCCTCTCTTAGAGTTCTAGAAGACAGCTATCTTACCCTTATTCTCTTCCAATTTGCTTGCTGTAGATAACTATGTCTTTAATAATGCAAAGGACAATTTAAAACAGCTTAGTGATCTTTTGCTCTGGAATCAGTCAAACATACCCTAGTTATGGAGGCCAGGCTAGTCATAGCAATATATTAAGCTTGATGGGATTTGCTGTCAGCTGGGGATGAGTAAGGTAAAGAGGAAGGATGAACCCACAGAAGGAAGAAGTAAGAGTTACTGGTCAAGGGAAGGAGATCAGCCAAGTCTGCAGCATCAAGACAAGCTTCCCAGAGTGGGTGACCCTGAGCTAAGCCACTGTTGCCACCAGCCTAGGGGGCACATTGGTCAAATGATAAAAAGGGCCCTCTTTCTCTGTGCACACCCAGCTCCCACCCACCCACCGTTCACATGGTACCTGCACAACTCTCAGTGGTGGCATTGACTGGTCTTTGAAAGACAGTGAAAACTAAGATCACAACAGGAGAAGGAAGGGGTGCCAGGTCAGAACGGCATGAGTGAGGGTGCCCAAGTACTATGACTCGTCACAGCAGAGAGCAGGGGCTTTTCTTGGGAGGAACCTATCAGGACTGACCTCTCTCTGATGGGCTCCATTTCTCCTTTCTTTTCCAGCTCAGCACCTGGCTCAGCCCTGGACCCCTACTCGCCCTGCAATAAGAACTGTGAATGCCAAACCGACTCCTTCACTCCAGTGTGTGGGGCAGATGGGATCACCTACCTGTCTGCCTGCTTTGCTGGCTGCAACAGCACGGTATCAGTAACTTTCTGATGGGACATGGTGGGGTGGGGACCTCAGGCAACCAAAGTATCTTAAAATTCAAGGTCAGGGTCATGACTAGGCAACCACATGTGGTCCGTATAGTGCTCTGCTGCCCTGTGACTTTTTCTCAGCTTCAGTCCTGATCTAATGGAGAAACCCCTGTCAGCTGGATGAGAGAACTGACCAGCCATTCTATTTAGCTATTTGTTAAATCAAGGAATTTTATTGAGCAACTGAAAGTAAAAAGTCAAAGGAAGCTGTACATAAGGAGATAGAGAGAAAAATTTTGGTCCTAGGTATTCATAAAGGGTATGTCAATGGAATGAGATGTATCTAGAGGTGGTGAGCTCCCCATCACCAGAAGTATGTAAATAAAAGCTAAAAAACCATTTATCAGGAAAGAACTCTTCCAAGCCTACAATTATCTGACACTGACTTGTCCTTTTCCTTACTCAATTTTCTTTGTCTTTTTCTTCCCATCTAGGTGCCTCCCACATTTTCCCATTCCTTCAACATCCTTTTTTGGGCTTTCCTTTTCTTAGTGTGAATTTTACAACTGGCTGTTAGCTGATAGCATTTCTAGTGTTCTCTGCATGGAAACCTGATGCTGAGTCAACTGGCCCTAAGTTGTGTGGTCCCAGCTTCTCAGTGTCTCTTGCACCTGTCTCTCTGCATGCACATGACCACTATGTCCCTGGTGGAGGCATCTCCTTCTCTTGCTTGGATTAGTGCAGTAATTACCTGACTGGCCTCCTGGCTCTGGGTGGTCCCTTCTGGTCTATCTGCCACACTGCAGCCAGAATGTTTTCTCTAGTCCTGCAAATGGTTTTTTCTATTGGTGACCAAATAGTTAAGTGCTCATCTACTAACTGAAAGGTTAGCTGCTCACATATACTCAGAAGTGCCTTGCAAGAAAGGCCTGATGATCTGCCTCCTAAAAGTCACAGCCTTAAACACACTAGAGAGCACAATTCTACTCTGCAACACATAGGGTTGTCATGAGTCTGAATTGACTCAAAGGCAACTGGTTTACGGTTTTTGTTTGCTTGTTTGTTTGTCTTTAAATGCTACTCTGGAGTCCTTGGGAGTCAGAATCAACTCAGAAGGAACTGGTTGGTTTTTGTTTGTTTTGTTTTGTTTTTTATGCTACTCTGTCAACCAGAATTTAAGATCTAGGCACTTAACCTGGTTAGCATGTGTCTTCACCATGTATCTGCCTTCAGCTTTTCTCTTCAGCTCTACCTTCTTTCAATTTAGGGTATTAAGCTTTCCTCATAAAACATGTGTCTTTTCATACTTCTTTCTGGCAGTTGGACAACTCCTACTCACCTAACAATACCCTACTCAAATTCCATCTTCTGTGTGAAACCATCTCTTCCTTCCTTTCTCTTTGGGGAACCTCTTTGTAGGAACCTCTGCAGCTCTTTGATACTTGTCTCTCTTGGAAACACTGCTTTCATTTATCTGCAGTGATCTACTTATGTGTCTGTCATCTGCTGTTGTCTCTGGGCTTCCTTGAGGTCAGGGCCTGGGAACCTAATCTTTTGAAATCTATGTCATGAGCAAAGTGCTGGTCCCCAGAAGGGCTCCATAAATGTCTATGGGATCCATGAATGGGAAGGAGAATACCAAGAAGGCTGAGTGGCCACTTTCAAGGAACTTAGAGTTGAATTTATGAGTTTCCCCTGCTTCCCACATCCTACATCTTTTGAGACCAGTAATTTCCCTGAAAAGAAGAAAAATGGATCATTTGTTTTCATTTTCAAAGATTTTGTTTTTCCTTGCATTTAACATTTAGATTCCTGGCAAGTTAATAACATCTTTCTATGGAGAAAATAAATCACCACAGGGGATAGGGTGAGGAGAAACTGATTTTTTTAAATTAGATTATAAAGCACTTTCCTTATGTGAATGGAAATGAATTTTAAAAAAGGGATGGAGCCTTGAGAATGGTTACCATAAAAACACAGGCCATTATTTTTCATGACAACAATTTCATTAACATTTTAGTATCCAAAAAGTTATATTATAAATCAGTCATGGTTCTTGTAGTATTCCAAGAATGGCATTGACTCCACTCTAGTGTCCTGAGACCAACCAAGTCTCTATTTCAGAAAGTACTGACCGAAAGGTATCTTAAAAAATTGCGATTCCCCTGATCTTGGCGTGTGTGAGTCTTATTGAATAAGAGCCTAATCTGGCCCATAGCTGCTTCCAGTTGCTGAAACAGCAAAGCTGCGAATATAATTATCAGATTGTGAGCTCCTGAGCTTACCTCCAACAGATCTTTCATTCCCCAGACACCTGCCTTTTGTTCACATTGCTTGAGGCCTCAGATTGTCAGCGGAGGTGCAGGCAGGATGGGAAAGTTATTTTTCTGCAATTATAAGTCAGAAAGTAAGAAACCACCAGGCCGCAGAGCTGGGGTGGAGTGGGGTAGGGTAAGGTGGCAAGGGTGGGACAAGTAACATTTCCTCCCTATAAAGTCAGCTGTCCAGATGTCCTGGCTTCCAGTAGGTAGATGAGGAATTTGGAAACACAAAGCCACGCTCTTGTCCTGGAAAGGAGCCTTGTGGTAGAGCCTTTAAAACAATCACAACCATGAAACTGCAGCAGCGTCAAGCTTTGTTGAGAGCCTGTCACAGGTCAGTTAACAGACCCTTCCACGTGTCACTCACAGCTCATGACAGTTCAGTACAGAGTCAAAAGCATTTCAGGCCAACATCCAACAACTAGTACAAGCAACGTAAATCTTTTAAATCTTTGCTGCAGTATTTTGAGAAAATGCCAAATGGTAGATTATATTCCTAAAATGTTCACTCCTTCCCTTTACCCCTCCTTTTCCTGGCTCTCCTTTTTGTCTCCAAACTTTCCAGAAAAAAAAAAAAAAAAACTTCCACAGGCTAAAGCTACCTTTGCCTGTCTTAACCTCTCCCCTTTTCATATTTATTCTTTCAGTCTCCCCTGGAGTTCACCTTTCCTCATGTGAATCCAGCCATTTTCCTGGCTTCACCAATTCTTTCCCGTTTAAAAAAAAAAAAAAAACAATGAACTCATTGCCATCAAATCGATTCTGACTCATAGATCCAGTAAATCTTTACAGAAGTAGATTGCCCAGTCTTCCTTTTGCAGAGTGGCTGGTGGGTTTGAACTGCCAACCTTCTGGTTAGCAGGCAAATGCCTTAGGTACTGCGCCACCAGAGCTCCTTATTCTTTCACTTACCATGTATATATTATATTGTTAATCCTTCCAACAAGGTAGATGTTCTTTTTCCCTGATTACAGATGAGGTCCAAAACTTATTTAAAGTCATGAAGTAGGAAGTAGCAGAGCAGGCATGAACTAGGGTCTGTCTGGCACCAAAGACATTATCTTTCCTCTGCATTCAGGCGTTTCCCTTCTTAGGACGAAACTCCTATTTAGAGTCCTTCCTTTTCCTGAAAGAGCCTCTTCATATGAATGCTTCACAGTTGGGACCTTCCCTTTAGCCTTTATAATCTGGTCCTGGCTGCCTCTCCAGCCCCACTCCCACCATTCCTCCCACCTCTTAAAGAACTGCTTGCTGCAGTTGAACATCTTCCAACACACCCAGCTGTCCCTGGCCTCTGGGCCTTTGCACATGCTGTTCCTTTTTCCTGGAATAGCCTTCCCCATCTAACCCCTCCCCATGCATAAACAAAACTAAATCAATTGCTGCTGAGTTGATTCTGTGTGTCAGAGTATAATTGTGCTCCATAGAGTTTTCAGTGGCTGATTTTTCAGAAGTAGATCACTAGGCCTTTCTTTCAAGGCATCTCTGAGTGGCCTCGAAGCACCATCCTTCCAGTTAGTAGTCAAGTGTTTAACTGTGTGCGCCACTCACAGTACATAATCCTCCTTATTAGTGAGGGCTCCGTTTCTCTGTCACTGCCTCTAAGAAGCCTTTTTCTACCACATTACTTCTCCAGGTCTGTGTTGGTGCCCCCCTGTGGGGTCTCACAGCACCTGCACTCACCCAGCAGAGTTATTACGCCAGGTGTTCTATTGGCGCCCTAGACTCCGGTATCCTGTAATGAGGGTTCTGTTGTGGACTGTTGCTTGCCCAATACCAGCCATGACTTTGAACAAAGGCCCTGTGCCTCTCAAATGCCCAGCTGGTGCCCCTGCATTGACCTCAGTGACCCAAGGGAACCACAAGTGATAATCTCACTATCTTAATAGCCATGAGCTGGCAGATAGGTTGGATGGTGCAGATTTCAATACTAACCACCCTGTCATTGCTCTCTCTCACCACTTATGACTTCCATCAAGACTTGCAAAAATTGCTCGTAATTTGATTAGATATGAGTAAGTCACCATCAAATAATCCTGACAATTGGGAAATCTGGTTAGTGTTAGCAATTTCCCCATATTAGACTTTCCTTCTTGCCCTGATTTGGGTTTATTATTATTATTATTTTCCTATTTCATATCTTTTTCAGTGATAGCAACAGAAGTTTCCAAGATTGCATTTAATGTATGATTTCTAATTCTCCTTGTTGCATATAACCTGGAGTGTTGACAAAAAGACTGCCAGTTAATTTTGTAGGCTTCCTTTGGCATGAATATATTGTCCAGATCGTCTCTGTACCTTTGACTTCTAGAAGTAATTATTCTGACAGAAAGCATGTTAGTATGCTGCTGACTGACTGCTGGAAGTTGTAGCCTTTTGATGTATTGAATAATTGACTTAAAAAAAGAAAAAACTTACATCAGTCACTAATAAAATGTTGAAAGTTGGCACCTCCAGCCCACAGTTTGTAGAAGACTGATTAGAGACCAGTCTATCCGCCCATCCAAACCAAAAAAACAAAACAAAACCTACTGCTGATTCCGACTCATAGCACCTTTATAGGACAGAGTAGAACTACCTCATAAGGTTTCCAAGGCTGTAATCTTTATGGAAGCAGACTGCCTTATCTTTCTCCCATGGAGCTGCTGGGAGATTTGAATGTCTGACCTTTTAGTTAGCA